TATGGGATATGGGATATGGAATATAGGATATGGGATATGGGATATGTGATATGGGATATGGGGTATGGGGTATGGGATATGGGATATGGGATATGGGATATGGAATATGGAATATGGGATATGGGACTTAATGTGGTTTAGCTGACGACATTTTTAGTTCGTTTCAATATTTTTTACAATTAAAGCTCTGACTTGATTGTCTTTTCTAATATGATAAGTTCAACTACAATAAGTCTATATATATGTATATATGTATGATATTGGTATATAATTAACAATGAATATATGAAAATCAAATTAAAGTTATCACAAGAGAAATAAACTCAATAAATATAGTGCTTTATAGCCTGACACATATTCAATCTCATCTTTGGTCACACTCAGCCTCAACTCGATTGCAGAGCATGTACAAGTCGCCCATGCTCGACTCTCGCTTTTTATATTCAGCTTGCACGCTAACCCACAGACAGCAAACCAAGCCAAGCCAAGCCAAACCAAACCAAACAGCGTCGCGCCGCACCGAGCCGAGCCCAGCTGCTGCAAGTCATCATGTAACACCCAAGAAATATTGCGATGAGGCAAGCAACAGAGCAGAGTTATGCCAGCGCGTCTCTAATAAGTCTCGACACTCACGCTCGCTCAGGCCGTAGAGAATCAGAAATTGACAATGCCGCTGAATCGGCGGAAATTAGGCACTTAAAGAGACGACGATGAGGCGCAGCGCAGCGCACTCTATGAGCTATCATTCAGTCATTTGCATAACACTCCGGGACGCACATTGCTCGAATCTGATGCCCGAGCACGGGCCCAAAACGTGCGCTGGACGCGTCCCATGGAGCTTAGCAATGAGTATCACTTAGCCCCCCTTCTATAACGGTTATGCGTTCCCAACTCTTGTACAACTCGGTCCATCAGCTCGCCTCGCGCAGACGGCAGAGCGGGCGCTGCTCCAAATGATATGCGCAACAGACAATTTCTTCCTTCCACAAACTGGTCTCGCGTGACCCACAAAAAGCGCCGCATGCAAGTCACTCCAAAGACTCCTTCAAAACTGCAGATGCCAGGCGGACAAAAGAGGCCTGACGAAGTCAGAAATGTGACCCATCTGGCAGCCCTACTATGTGAAAGGAGTCCGAGTATATAAAAACAGCTTTGAGTTTGATAACACGATTCTATTTGACAACCCATTTATGGAGCTGTTCTTTTTTGAATTTGGTCAGATATTTTTATATGGATAGCCTCACACTAGAGCAAACCAATTCTTGAACATACACGCAACTAAAAACTCGCCTGACCAGGGAATCTAATTTGGATTGGAATTTCAATATGATTATTGATTTCAGCTTCATATACACAATATGAAAGTCAAAGTTTATTCTCAGGCAAAGTCAATTTTAAGTTGAGTTCAGGAACTGATTTGGCATTGAAAGCCACTCCCTAAAGCCATGTGAGCTGCGCTGGACCACAGCCAAGAGTAGAGGCAAAGACAAAAGAATGATGTCTTATGTATTGGCCTATTTAGGTTATTATATAAGAATTTTGAATTTTAGGGAACATCAAATAATGCTTCCAGAACAAATGACGCAGAAAATTTCCACCTCAAAATCTTTGATGGCGATTCTAACCATCAAACCAACAATCAGATTCAATTTCACTGCATTGAGTAGCAAAACTGAATCTGCTGTTTTCTTTCGAAAGTTTTCGCTACACTTTTGTTTTTCTTCTTTATTTTTTCTTATTTATTTGCCAGTTCAGCTAGTGCTTCAATCAATACCTTTTCAATACCTATTTAGCACACTGAGTTTCACTCATTTATTGTTTCGTCTGACAATAAGTCAATCTATCAAAGTTGGTATTTCAAATGGAGCCTCGGCTGACCCCATGGCCGAAATTTAATCGTCAATAACCAACATAGTTTTCCTGAAAGCCCATGCGATAA